CCCCCCTCTCCCCACGAGATGCTCGCCCCCCCCCCCCTGCCACTGGAGAGGCAGGTAAGTTCAGGTGTGTGCACGACACAGGGGTTTAAAGGGCCCTAAATTAACGTGGTATATTTAAAAACCCACTGCTTCAATTTATGGCCCCCGTTTCATCTACACACCCTTACAATGAAGGCACTAGAATTAATGTATGTTAACTAAAGTGCAGTAATACACATGTAGATGCACCCAGTACATACACATGTGGCCCTACTAGGCCACAGTAAACAAATAAACTCCACCATAGGATAGTACCTTAAATACAAGTACTATCCTACTGTGGTGTTCTTTAGTGTGTAGATGCTGATGGGGCTGGCTGGGTCATGAGGGTGCTTCAGCGTGGGGGTTGCCTGTAGGCTAGCCCTGCACAGGAGCACCCTCATGCCCCAACCAGCCCCTCTGCAACATGCTGAGCCGGGCCAGAGGAATCCTGGGCTGGCAGGCTGACCACCCCCTTGGACCTCCTGCCAGCTGGGACTGCTCCATCCTGACTCAATGTGCTGCAGTACCAGGTGCAAGTTCAAATGCAGTGCTCAGGGCAATAAACGCCAGTGTAATATGTGCCGGAGTTTATTGCTGCATGTTAATTGTATATGTAGACACATTCACATTAAGGTTGTTAAACCCACAGTACCCAGTATAATCCTTGTGGCTGTTCAAGTCATAGCATGAAGGAACCATAGAGGTCATTGATAGCTTTGCACCAGCACATGTGAAAGAAACAGATGTACAATTTAACATTGATCAGATAATGTATTTTTCACATATAATCAACAATGAATGTAGTTTTAAACACTGCAAAACTGGGACTTTTTAAAAATGGTAAAACATATGGAGTACACTGAAAACAACCATGTATTTATAACCATGTATTGTAAAACATTATACTCATGCATTTCCCATAAAGCTGACACTGCTGAGATAATAAAACTAAAAGTAAACAGAAAAATAGATTTGTTCCTGTAGGACTCTTTCTTATTCCTGAGGCAGCTGTGAGGGGAAGGAGATAACTTGCATGAGACAGAGGTTAAAATGTTCCATAAAGGGGTTTGCTTATGAAGAGCTTATTGTAGTCCTTAGGGCCTTTCGTCTCTACTAATTTGCTGTAGAAGGACTTTCTGCTTGACACTCCCCGAGAAGATTGTCACTATTTTCAGCTACACCCAGCTCTTTAGATGACTAGATAGAGCTAGATTACGTTTAACATGCTTTGGCACCTAGCCCTGTTTTCTGACTTACAACCAGCACAATAGGGTGGTGTCACAAACATTGCAACAGCTAGCCAAATGCCAACTGAGTACCAGATATTCTTGAGCAGGGGTGTCAAACTCATCTGGCCCTACAGGCCAGATGACTGGCATGAAATAGGCCCACGACCCCTCTGCCCACACATGCCAAATCTAGCACTTGCTCCAGCAGGTCCAGGATAGCACTACATGCAGCACCCAGTCCAGCCAGTCTGGGACCCATGCTGCACACGACACACATTCTGGACTGGCTGGAGTGGGTATTGCTTGCAGTCCAAAGTCCCAAACTGGTGAGAGCAGACACTGGGTGTAGCAGTTGCCACATGCAGTGCAGGTCCTGGAGCAGGCACCTCAGGCCCTCTGACATCCCTGGGTGCTACCCAATGACATAACAGGGCAGCTAGGCACCAGGGACAGCTGTAAACACACAGGGGTAGCAGTTACCAGTTACCCATTACCAGTATGGGTAAAATTCACCCCTGCACAGAGGACCAATGTAAGACTAATTCACTAGCTTAGTCACTAGCATCTTCCTAATAGGGCTTCAGTGTATGTTATGCATAGTCTGCTTGAACAGGGAGAACTTCATACCTCTTCCTTAGGATGGCTTGAAAAGTGTAAAAATCCTTGGCTTTACATTGAAAATGCACAGGAGTGGCAAGAAACAACTTTGCTCTATTTTATTCCTGTTCACATCTCCAGATTTTCCTTTATGATATGGCAGGAAGTATGAACGAAGAAGTCAGCTTCAGTTTAGCAAGCCAGATACCAGTCCAAGTCCACCTGGATTTATACAACTAATTTCAGTGTCCAAACTGACCCCTAATCTAAACAAGAATAATTTTATTGGATTGTAAAAATGACACAAATCTGTTTTAAAAGTTGCTACTTAAATGTGTTTTAATAGGCACATTTTCAATTTGTCATTTCTTTTTCTGCTTAACCTTGGACCCTCTTTTTAATGCAACTTAGTCACCAACCCCACGGTTCAGGGGACTCGGAGCCCTGTGGAAGTTTATTGAGACCAATGGTTGACAACAAATCAGAAAGCTGTTTTCAAAACAATAAATGTCTAAAGCAGGCCACACCCATCAGACAGAACCATGGAAAAGGATTTCCATGACCTAGAATTCAAAAGCAAGGTTTTCCATGGATTCAATACAGCCAGACAGTGTTTCACAGGCTTCAATATCTCCAATGGGATGAGATTTCCAGGGTCTAAATCTTTGTGAAATGGATTTGCTGTGTGTTTCAGCTACTTACAGTCTTGCATTAGAAATTTGGAAATGTTCCATGTAGAATTTCTGAAATAGCTAAACACATTTTCATCAATACAGATCAAATGAAGGTGCAGTGAGCAGGTGGTAACAGTAGCATAACTAACTCAGGGTGACCAGGACAGCAGCCAGGAACACCAACTTGGTTGTGGTGGGGGGTGGAAAAATAACAGCTGTTCCTGCACCCACACAATTGTGCTGGCAGCAGCAGACAGAAATCACTGCCACTCCTGTGTGTTTGCAGCTGCCCCTGGTGCCTTGCTGCCCTGTTACATCTCTAGGTAACACCCAGAAGAGGCCACTAATGAAAAAATTCTCTATACTGAGATTTTTACATTACCCAAAGGCAACGTCAACAGCAGTTTCTTAGTCATGAAAAGTCTGGACAGAATCTGCTGCAACAAAACTTAGCTGAATGTTTTTTTTTAGTGGTAGGCAGGCCACACATCACAAGCATCTCAGAAAAGAGTATGAAATAGACTGATAGAAGCAAAGCAGATTTTTCTAGGATGAGCTAATAATATTTGACCTTTTTAACTAGGAAAATAATATTGTCCTCAGGAGGTACACTCAGAAGGTTAGAGTCTCCTTAAAACTAATGTTTATATGGTACAATTTGGGGTTGAAGGGCCAGAATGGCAGCCCTCACCAGCTGCAGGATCTAGCAGGATCTAGCTGACTCTGGGTCTTTGTGACACTGTTGTCCAAAGAGGTACCAGGATGCAAATAGTTGCAGTAGAACTGGAGCAGTCACACATCTTTAATTGCAGTAGAACTGGAGCAGTCACACATCTTTATTTTGCTGGTTTCCCTTTTTTTTTTTTTTTTTTACTTATTTTTTAAAAAATGTAGCTGACCAAGCCTTTTCCAACTGCTGACTACATTTCTATTTGGCAGATTTTCATTTGTCACAGCGTTATTACCTTGGTTGTTATTTTTATTACTCTTGTTTTTATTCTTATTACTGTTGTTATTGTTGGCACTATTATATTATTTTGTTGCTATTGTTATTACTATTATTTTTATTACAGCTGTTATTGTTGCTATTATTGTTTGCTGCTATTATTACTGTTGTTAGTGTTATTGTTGTTCCCGTTAAAATAATAAGGATCATGATCATGATCATGGTAGTGGTGGTCTTGGAGCTGCTCCCAATTTTTCCTGTGGCCCTGACATTCAGAGGGGTTGGATTTGTGGCATCCAGGTACGGGGGGTGGATGTGTGTGTATGTGTGTGTCCGTGCTCTTGGGTCCCATCTCCTTCCTCATGGAATGCACGTGTCTAGCTTGTGCCCTACTGGGGTTGAGACCTGAACTTGCCCAGGACAGAGGCCAAGCAGGGCGTGTGTGTATGTGACAGGGAGCTCCAGGGTATGTATGTGGCGGGGGGCTCCAAGGGGTGTCTTGTGTGAGTGAATGAGTGTGTGAGAGGGAGGGAGGCAGGGGGCTCCAAGGTGTGTGTGGCAGGGGGCTCCAGCACGCGTGTGTGTGTGTGTGAGTGTGAGACAGAGGGCTCCAGGGCATGTGTGTGTGGCAGGGGGCTCTAGGGTGTGTGTGAGGGGGACGGGGGCTCTAGGGCATGTGTGCGTGTGTGCCAGGGCGCTTTAAGGTGAGGGGGGCTCGTGTGTGCGTGACAGGGGGCTCCAGGGTGCGTCTGTGTGAGGGGGGCACGCGTGTGTATGTGACAGAGGC